GGGGGGGGGGGGGGGGGGGGGGGTCAGCCACTGGCCCTATTACCTGTATTAACCATCTGTCCTAGATTCAGACGCCCTCTATTATTGCCGTTTCCGCCTGCATACGGATAGATGGTGCTGGTGATGGCGTCATTGTTCAGACATGCATAGTTGAGTCCGGTGTTTTTCAGCGTCACGCTGCACATGGACATGACGTCCGATGTGTTATAGGGGGTAAAGGCGTCTACAGCTATTGTGGCTGTGGGGTAAGGGATGTACATATCGAGGGTAAACTTGGCGGCTGATCCGATCTCCACCTGGGGTGGCCCGTTGAGGGTGAGATTCGCTGGGGCGCTGGTGTTCTGGAAAAAGAAAAAAATAATACAACTTGTAGCAAAATGCATAAAAGATAGTGCCCGCTAAAAATATAGTTAAGTTGAAAATGCGTGTTGCTTCAGGGAAGAAAAGAACTGGACAGCTACTTGGTACGACAGACGAGACAGTGAAGGACTATTATAGCCACACGGTACAAAATGAAAAGCCAGAACCAACACTACCGTTTGTTCAAGACTACTCTTTCTCTGTTATTATTATTATTATTATTATCATTATTATGATTATGATGATGATGATGATGATGATGTAAAATCGCCGCTGAAGTAACTCCCAGGTCCTGTTATCCCTGTATAGCTATAAATGAAAATTAAAAATGATGGAGTTGAAATACCCATTTGCTTCTATCCAATCCCGAAAATGAATAATGAAAACGACTTAAACATTTTAGAAAGGAAGTTCTTTTGAACGTAGCTTCTATTTGTTATAAAACAACTTTTGTATGCGCCTAGTTCTTTGGCCTAATATTCTATTGTTCTATTACACAAACCACTTCATTTGTATACTGAGAACAAACATGGATAAAAACTTAAACAAAGCCTCGTAGCCCTTGAACTTAGACTTCATGATTTATTCTTACAACACCAGAGGAAACGACTAATAGCAAATCATTAAATTTAGAAACAAAATGTGTTTATTAGCAAAACATCTCACCGCGAGCGAGACAGAAGGAAATTACCGAGAACCAGGCTGTCAACAGAAGCGTATTGATTAGATATAACCACTCCAGTTCATAAAAACAATGATGCAGCCCAAAATTTAGATGTGTTATCGATGCTGTCAGTGCGTGGAGGAAATGGCGCTCTTTTCCTGGATACCCGGTACAAAGACGCGGACGCCTGGCAACGGATATAACGCCCGGTCGAGTTTCAGCGCGCTGTTTGGAAAAGATTCATAATAAATGAGAAAATGTCGATAACAGACTTGATGGATGACGGACTAACATATGCTCAGATAGCTGAGACTCGGAGCACAACATGGCTGCACTGGTTTTTGATTTTTGTCTTCCTAAATTCCTAAAACCCGTGCGTTTAAAAAGACTGGCTAGTGTATATAAAAAAGCCTGTCTAGTTTCCCAAAATTCATGTGTGTCATATAATAGAATGTTTTCAACTTCACACTGAGTAGGGGGAAAGAATACAGAAGGATATCTGTCTGGAGAGAGAGAGAGAGAGGGAGAGAGAGGGGTGACAATAAGAGCACAATAGATATAAAATATTGAATAAGGAAATGTCAGTTTCATTTTACCTGACCCTCTTTTTCTAAAATCCCTAAATAATCCGAATGAAATTGATTAAGCCTGTACTACAGCATTGTAAGTGATGCACTGAATATTAGTAAAATGCGCACATATTTCTTTTTATAGTCTCTCTCTCTCTGATTTTCTAATATGATTTGCTGTCATACTCTCTTTCTCTCTCTGGTCACTTTGATAACAAAGACGACACTAAATATACATTTATTATCAAAAGTACCGAAAATCAATTTATAATTGGTCTGGCAAACGTACATAACCATGCAAGCGCCATGTGCAAGAGAGTGTCCTGTGCCACATGGTCCGGTTTCTATCTATTTGTACAGGTAAGCCTCGTCCTAGATTCTGACCCATATACGTCACGTTAATCGTAACCTGCATGAATCTAAAGGAGGATGGAAACACGTTTTCTTTAAACCGAAAAACTATGGTGCTTCTGTTACGTGTAACTGGCTGTTATAGAATTTGAATATTTTGATCTGTAGCCATTTTGTTTAAAAATATGTTTTAAATTCTGTTCTTTCCAACGCATGTATATTCCCGAGTGTGCATTCTTCTTTGCTTCTAAATATGCCCCTAAACACGTACTCTAAATATGACCTTTTGCCCATGCTGGTGTTCACACACATTATGAGTAACGCTACAGCGCACAATGTAGACAAAAATGACAAGATGAAAAAGGAAAAAAAACTACTTACAAAAACATCAGTCTCTGTGATGTAGGACACCTGTGCCACCCAAATGTCGCTGTCATTGTTGAAGGAGGCCCCCGCACTCAACCAGTACTCCTCCCCGGAGACTGTTAAATTAGACGTGATCTTGTACACCTTGTAGTCGATGAAGACCATGCTGGCGTTGGGCGTGGACGCGTCGGTTCCGCTGTTTTCCACTGTACCAAGGTTAAGGATGGCTCTGTCGTACTGGTATTGAAAACATGTTAATTTATTAACATATGAATAAGAACGTGCTGAAGGAAAGAAAAATCTAGTTTTTCTAAATTATGCTAGCCTACTGCTTCAACTACTACCACTACTACATGTACTACAGTTACTACTACTACTACTAGTATTACTACCACTACTGCTACTACTACTAATAATAAATCCTCATACAATCTTTCTTCTTTTTACTGGCAGCAGCAGTAGTAGTACATGTACACTGTAGTAGTAAAGGTTGATTGCAAATATTAGGAGTAGAGCACCCGTTGCTCACACAAAACGCGTTTTTAAGTCAAATACAGTGTTCACATCATTGCACTGACATGTCACAGAAGGCCTTTGGCTGCAGTCTTACTATTAAGCAAATAAAAGTTTTGTACTCACAATGCCGTTGCCGTATACAGACTCCAAAACTGGGGTCACATTCCCCATGTTGAGGTTATCCCCCACGTGGACCACCCGCGGGTTACACAACATAGCTTGGGTCGTGTCGTTATCCGATGAGAAGAGTTCCACCACGACGTCCGAAGAACCTGTTAGAATTTTTTAAAATGTGACTGGTTGTTTGAATAGTTTTCAGTTGTTTGAATAGTTTTCTATTAAACTATTCATTTAAAAAAGGGAAGTAAAAATGCTAGATTTAAGTTCTCTCAACCTTATTTTCTCTTTCTCAGTCTGAAGAATACCACAGTGCATGTATTTGATTTCGGATTATATTTAAATTTGAATTATACTTTTGAAAATATATCATGAAATGCTTTCGAAAATGTACTACAATATGGGCGAGTTCTTTAGTATTACACCTAAAATGCTATAAACGAATTCGTGTTCAGGTATCAACCACGAATCTTTATTTTGACTGTACTGGGATAATTGTGATATCATATATACCTGAAGGGAAGTGGATGGTCACCCGGAACGACAGCTCGGTCCCATCATAGATCTGGGTGATGTTTGGGTGTCTCTCCAAGTAGAACGTGAGGTTATCTGGGATCGGGCTGTCCACTGTCACCTCCTGAGAATATAAGTAAAATTTGGTCAACAGTGAATAAAATGGAATGGTGGCGTTCTTTATAAATTGCAAATTCATCATCAATTGTCAGGCCTGTTGCAGGCTTTGATCATTGTCCTCCAGTCTATTCTATTTTCAGTCGATTGGATGAGAATTTTNGCCAAAAGATGGCACCACTAGGTGGCTCTCATCATTTGCCCTGTGGATGTTGTTAACTCTTGGACATGACAGTTATCCCATATCTTTTGATTCCTTTTCAACCTGCACGTTAAATTCATTCCACGTGAATTAACCTTTTTCCCAAAAATAGTTATTGTAGTAATACTTAATAAAAGCTGACTCTAGAATTTTGAAAAGTTGGTTGGTTTTATATTCATAGCAGAAAGTGAATTGTTGTGAATATTTGAAAATGTTAACTAGTTAAAATTAAATTGTTAGAGGAAGTTCATTTGAAATTTTTAAATATTTACCGTAAATTTACCTGAGAGCAGCCCTCTAAATCAAGTATTCATTTGTTGCTATTGATACATTACTTGTAAAACAAGGCTATGGCTTCTCTGATGTCTTTTCAAACTGTAGTGTTATGTTGTTGCAGTTGTTTCCTGCATACTCTTATGGCATATTAGGAAGCATGAAATAATCTATATCAAGAAATTCAATTTTGTCAGAAACCAATACCTCAGTGGCTGTCCTATTGAGCATTTAACATTGGGTGAAATGGCCAAAATTTCATGTTGATTAAATTGGTGAAAAAATGAATCGGGTATTTAAAAAAAAAGGCAAAAACTGGTTTCATTCGTTACACTTGATTTTCATAGCAATGAAACACCTTTCTCGAAAGAAAACTCTTCAGAAAGCAAAATGCAATAATCAGAAGTGGATCTATTCCCAGAGGGGTTATTTCAACAGAATGGCCTTTGTAAGATACATATTGTTTCAGAACAATAATGATGAATTTTTGATGACATATCTATATCAATATTGTGAAATAAGTAACATTTCATGATCAATTAGAAAAGGCTGTCACTGCATTTGATTTTTCAAGGCATCACCTTGTGATATATGTTATTTATTCCAAAAATATTGAAAATTTGTATTTTTCTTTCAGCATCACCAGGACTTTTGCCTCTGGTCGTACCGAGAGGTTAATTATGCAGTCATTGAAGGACCTGGGGTTTCCTAGTGGCAAGGTGAGTGACTGATGGACACACCCATTGACAGTGACATTTACAACATGAGTCTTATGATTGACAGGTGTTTGATAATGAATAACAGACATTGCCCATAACACCCCTTTTAATCTCATTCAAAATTGTTCACTTAAAATTTTATTGAATTGAAAGTTGACATTCAATATTTTGTTTCTCATTCGTTTTGTTGCATTTTGCTGAATCTTTTATAAAAATTATTAAAAATCCATAGCTTTTCATAGATTTTAAAGATGATATTTGTTAACTAAACCATGACTTTGATTGATGTTTGACTGATAATTAAACCATGACTTTGATTGATACTTTTCCAGATTGATGAAATAGAAACATCCCAGTTTACCTTTGAAAAATTCTATGAGCTTTATCATAAGATCTGCCCTAGGACAGATATCGAGGAGTTATTCAAAGAAGTGTAAGTTCACTTACATCCCCTTGCACTATCTTTTAATGAAAGTAGTCAATCTTCATTTTTTTTATTATAATTCTTTTTGTTTTATGAGTCATGCAGGGACTTAAATTATTAATACACAAGCAACTAAGATAAACTGTGGTTCATGCAAGGAGAAAATTAGTGGCAATTTACAACCAGTATTCTGTTGATGACTACATATATGTATGTCTCCTATTCAGATATTTGAATATATCTTTAATTTCTTAATGCTACAAACATATTTATTATAGTTCAAAAGGAGGTGATCATCTGACCATGATACAACTGATAGAATTTCTTAATGAGGTAAGTTTCCTCTGAGCGTCATCAAAATGTGTTAAACAGTATGTCAAGTGCAAGTGCCCCCCAAAGTAATACATGAATAGAATAATCTATAAATAGATTATGTAATTTAAAGACTGCCTCTCCTGCCATTTTCATATTAAGTTGTTTTCACTTTGGGATAAATATTTAGTTATCTTACAACTATCATGTTTATATATACATATTATGTGTTTGAGATGTGCATGTGTAATACAGGGAACATAGAGGCAATATTGCAATTAAAATCTATATCATTGGATCACATGCCAAGGGAGAAAAGAGGGAATTGACTTTGAATATATGAACATTTAAGTTGAAATTTGTATATCAAAATATTTTGATAAAAGATAAGTGAAAATTAATAAACTTACTAAAATAACTACCATGTCAACAACCACAGGGTCTTGAAATTATGTAAAGGGTAGGTATTTCATAAAATGATGAAATTGCAATAGCACATCATTAAGGGCATCTTTTATATGATTATAAAAGACCCTGTATGATTATTTTTCAAACATGACCCCACAAAGACAGACGAAGCTGATTATATTCAATTTGACTGTGCCTTAGCCAGAATCCCTGCTGAGATAGAACGGTCCTGTTAGTTTGATAACTTCTATTCTGAACACAGCCTAAGACTAACTTTCATTCGACACTGTTTTGTAAAACACAACTTGGCCTGGCTATAGGTTAACAAGAAAAAAGTGACTAGAATTGAGACATTAAAATTTGATTTTTTTTTAGATAGAGTCAAATAAGAAAGAGAAAAAAAGGAGAGAGGACTGGGATAGATCTGTGACCCTTTACCTAACTTATTTCAAAATTGTTGCAAAGTTCTGAAAATAACATAGAATTACCTGTGAACTTGATTAATGCCCTGGAAATTATAAAGCTTCTAGTCCAAACTGCCTAGATAAAGGTATCATGCCTCTCAGTTCAGGGGTGATTTATTAGTGCAAGTTAATATGAATGCAGATGTCTATTGATTTTTNGGGGGGGGGGGGGGGATAATTATTTTTACATTTTAATTTCTACTAACTTCTCCCATGCCATTGACGTGAAGACATTTCAACACTGATAGACATAACATCAGGGATGTGCTGGGGTAATTCAGATTTACAATATACTTAGGTGTTGGGAATGCCCCAAATGTATTCTATTTTTTTTTCACATTATAACTTTTGATATTTGGCCCAGACAATAGCAGTGAGGAAGTTGACATATTTATTTATTGAACCTGTAGGTTTTGTTCAGATAAATTACAGTTAAACAATGATCAGGAGAAAGACAGTTCTATTAATTTTACATTTTCTTTCAATACATTGCTATAGGAGACAGAGATGGCGGTATGTTACAAGAAGAAAGAAAGTCAGAGTCACCTGCACTACCCCAGACCAGGCACTCTACCTCACAATGCAGTGAGGAGATAGGGACAGATGCTGTCAAAGACACGTACCTGAGGAGATTCTCCATCACTCCAGAAGGTGGACAAGTTCATCTGAAGGAAGTTGGAGTATTCTTGTTAGTGCCTCCAGGAGCTCTGGCTGAAACTACAGAAATGTTCATTGGTATAAGTTGGAGAGAAGAAGACATGCCACCGCTGCCACCATGTCAGACTAGAGCAAGTCCAGTTGTTGTCTGCGGACCACATGGCCTCAGGTTCAGAACACCAGTGTACTTGTCATTTTATCACTGCATATCAGGAACACGTCAGAGAAAGATGGGAAAGATCCGTCCTGAAAATGTAACTCATTATTCAAGAATGGACAATCCATTTTACATATGGCAGTCAGAAACTCACTTAAATGACCCTTGTCGGTGGAAAGTATTGAGCAATGCTTCTGTTGTGTTGACAAACACCAAATGTGTCTTAACCACGAACCAGTTCTGCAAACACAGTTTGTCATGTGACAGTAAGCGTCTTTCTGCCTTGGTGTTTGGGTCATTTCAGCCTCTACATGTCCCCTTGCTGAAACTGATGGTGTGCTGTGTCAATGACACCCGAGATGAGGTAGAGGTGAGAATTAATTTATAAGTGGTTTTCTTTTTTGATTGTTATGACTATTCCTGACACATTGGCATAATATTGGTGCTGTGGATGATTGCAAATAACTGTGTTAAGTTGTAATTGGTCACTGCATTAAGTGCCTTTGTTAATTTTAATTCTTTCGAATAATGATGTGCATTATTTTTTCAATTGTTTATTTGCATTACATAACCCAACAAATCATTTTGTCATCATCTCTGTTGCATTTGTTTGTGGAGATCATTTTTTCTCTTTATCTTTTGATACCCCTAAAATGTTATGTTGCTATTGAAGGCTAAATACTTTTTGTTGGAATGTTGTAGATTGTGAGAACTTATGCTAAGGAATCACTCCTCATGGAGATGTTAGATTTGGCAAAGAAGTTTCAATTCTTAACTTGTGAGTACAGTGAGAGTGAAGATAAGGAGTCCTATGATGTCAGCCTTTTGTTGGACGAGTTTGAGACAGAGTGGAAGTTGCATACAGATTCTCAGGAAAAGGTAGGCTTTTATTACTTATATTTTCCAAAATTGTGCAACAAAGATAAGCCATTTAGGCGTAAAGGGCCTGTATTGTGATGATTATGGCAAAATTAGTTTCTGAGATAATGATAAAGAGAGCTATAACAGGCCCTTAGCCAGCAATTTCAAGGGGGGGGGGGTCTTTTTCTGAAAAAGTGGACCTTTTACCATATAATTCCCATGTACCTAGGTCAAATTTTACCCAGAGTGGACCTTTTTCCAGCAAAAAGGAGGGGTTCTTTCGAACTCCCCGAACCCCCCCTGGCTACGGGCCTGTATAATAATAGATAATGATAGAGAGAGAGTGATAGGAAATAAGTCTAAAAAAGACCCTTTTGCATTTTAGGTGATAAAGTATGTGAAATTGCTGAAAAGTGACATGTAATGTATGCCCTGAGCCCAAAAATGGCAGACAGACTTGATGTGTTTGTCTGCAAGATACACATAAAGCAGAAAGTATCCGAGGATCAGGAAGAGGACATCAAAGTGCTGACATCCACTGAGTTTGACATCCACTGGAAGTTACCAGTAAGTTAGTAGAAAACTTGGGCAATAATAATCTTATGGTACATCATCATATTCTCATTGTGATGTTGTCTTTGTATGATATCACAGTTACTGTAACAATATACAATTATAGCACCTGTTATTCCACCCGAAGTTTCAGCATTGTTCAGTTATCCCAACTTCGGGTTGAACCTTATCCAGTAGTGACTGAAATGCAATGTCTGTAACTGTTTTGATTTGTGTTCACAATTTTAAAGATAATATACTTAAAACACATTGATAAATTATTGATGACAGCTCAAACAGTGGCAGTGGAGATCCAAGGTGAAGAATGAGGTAAACTTGCTAAAATTATGGCCTCAGGTGACTGCCTCTAAACCAGTTGGCTATCTTCAAAATCCATGATTATGTAAGAATTTTTAGTGACCACTTTAGTGTTGATTCATAGAACCACAATAGTTGGACACCTCCTTTATAACATTTAAGTATTTAGTTAAAATATTTACTACTGCTAAGCCACTTACCTAATGCTTATTTCTTGTTATATTTTTCAGGTTGCCCCCCCTATGGACTTATACAATCTTAGTAGTTATTCTGGTGGTCCAGCAAGCCTAAGATCTGCTCCACAATGGAGTTCACACCCATTGCCAGGAGATGAACTGCAGAGGCATGGTGGCAACCATTTTCAGTCACAACCAAACCAGCAGTATTACAAGCAAGAGCCATACCTACAGAATCAACCTAGGTTTCAATCCAACATTGGTGGTCAGCAGGAATACTTCCAATCTCAAACAGCAAGGGAGATGGCTGTACCAGGCCAATACCAAGCAAATCCACCACCATTTCTACCCAACTTTGGCAACCAAAGGTTGCAACTAGGCAATTTCCAATCTCAGACACTGCCTGGTGAGTCAGCAGGACCAAATATAACCTATCATCAACAAGTAGAATCCCAGCATAGCAGACTACCTCAGGAGCCAGTCACTGACCACCACCTGGAGGAACAAGGTGGTGACCACATTCAAACAAGGAGGAAATCAGGCCATGACTTCCAACCTTTACCACCACAGCAGGACCCTGTGGCTACTGAGGATCAAGACCAAGGTGTTACTGACCCTCAGGCCATCAAAACAATGGGAAACGAAGCTCTTAACCAGGCCCATGGGGATAATCAGTTAGAAAGTTTACCTACGGCAGTGACACATGAGATTGCTGGGGTTCTAACACAGATTCCCACTAATACAAGCAGCATGCATATTACATTCAATGTTCAGCAGAATTACCACAATTACTCAGAAAAGGAATCGATGCCAAGCATGAAAGAGAAAGATGTGACAGCGTCATTTCATAAACATGTCCCTACAAGTGTGAAAAAACGACTGAATGAGACATTTTCTCAAGATGATGTATGGAACCAAGTAAAGAAGATGTATGGCATTTCAGATGAAACCCCATGTCCTCCCGATGTTGTGTCTTCTTTGTTGTCACAAGTTGATGGTTCCATTGCATCTTTCATCAGTGTGTTGTTAAAGTTAAAAGAACGCCACAGAGAAGGGCAGCAAGACATTCCACAAGACTTGATTAATGAAGTCAAGGTAATTGATAATATGGTCTAAAATATAGTCAAATAAAGTAACCAGTCTTTTAAATTTTAAAATGACAATGTTTTTTTATGTACAGACACAGATGTGTCTGTACATATAGCCATCACCTGTGTCTGTCATCGCCGTTGCCGTTGGCGTGCACTTTTACCGTAAACACGATAAGTGGAAAACCGTTTTACCTTTTGGCTTGAAACTTACAGAATTGATGAATGTTTATAATACGCAGGTCAAGTTTGAAAATCAGCATGATCGGGCCATTTTTAGGGAAGTAATGCTGTTTTTTCACTTTTTTCAGCATGTATGCAACACCTTTGTGCTATATGATGGTACTGTATGGATGGCAGTCTATAAAATTGTCCCTTGGGTGATCACTAATGAAATTAAGGTCTATAAAGTCACTTGCCTACTCATTAATTTTCAATTGGCCATTAAATGAGATTACATAAAACACTCCTTGAGATTTCCCTGTAAAGTCCCATAGGTTTAGCTCTCTTAACTGTGTCACAAAATTAGGATTTGGTGATAATTGTGCAGATAAATGGTGTTTAACATTGCAAATAAATTTACAACAAAAAGAATGTGTTATGCCAACATGCTATAGATGAATAACAGTGCTTTATTTTTCTCAAACTTGGTGGTGTTATTAATATCAAGTTAATACAGCTAGATTAAAAGTTTGAATAGCAGCTTTATTGGAATTTTTTACGTTTTATTTAAAAATTTTTTTGAATTATTTTTCAAACACTAGCATCTTCAAGATGTGATTTTTTACTCCCATCCACCAGAAGTGCTGTGCATTTTCTGTATTTTTGTATATAATTGTTATTTCTTCAGATTTAATTCTTAGGCATGTTAACAGTCTCATTAGGGAACTAATAAGATATGTAGAAGTGTTGTTTTGACATTTTCTGCTTCTTAACAATATTGTTAGTTGATTATATAAAAATGACGATAAACCTGTTATAATATTGCGCATTGTGTAATAAAGTATCATAAATGGAAAGGAACTCAACATTGCAGTTTGTCAGATTTAATCATTCACTATGTTCAGCATCTGCAAATGGAGCAAATTGGACATTGAAAATTGTTCTATTGATATTTTTCCTATGTCAACAATTTTCCTAGTTGAACATTTAAAAATGACAGTTTATTGATGATTTTGTTTTAAAATAGGTGTTGAAAATGGAAAGAAAATCATTTCAGTACAGTTATCTCTTGTTTACATTTTGGCATTTTGAAAGTGTGACTCTGAACTTCCATGGCCTTGAAGACCTTCCCAAATCACATTTTCTGAATATTCATGATACGGTAAAGTGCCATGAATTTCGAACAGCTCTTGAATTTCGAACGATCTTAAAATCGGCCGTCTGGAGTTTTTTCTGGACCATGAATTTCGGCCAGTAAGCAATTTTGCGCGATCTTGATTTCGTGAATTTCGTACACCTTAAAATCGGCCACCGGGCTATTCTCGCGCTTATAAAGATCTAACAGTCGGCAATGTTGCCCTAGCGTACCTTTACCTGAGTACTACGTGTGCGGCCCAAGGTGCAAGATAATGATCAGTACAGTTAGTTTAGGACGCTAAACAACATCGTCATATCTATTCATTCAGATAACAGGAGAATCTATTAAGAGTTGTACTGTCGGGCTGTTGTTTCTTTACCGCAGTATGCGCAGTATTCGGTGTGAGATAGCGATCGGTAGTTTGGCTGAGGCGCACAATAGCATTGTTAACAGTAGAGACTTCAGTAACAGAACAAAAGAGCAATATTAAGAGCTGCAATAAAGATAACCATTATTGCTTTCTTGTCTCGCTCAGATCGTTCACGATCTCCGGCTGACTATCTTCCGGTAATGAAGTCCCTTGAAATGTACAAATGAAATGAGAAATATATTTAAAAATTATAAATTCCGATGGGGAGGGATGGAGGGTTAAAAACAATCGAGAACGATTTCCGGCTGACGACTTTCCGCAAACGAAAGCCACTGAACGAGTATGAGCTTTCTCGTTTCACTCGGATTGCGAAGCTGATGATACGAAAATTGCGTTCTCGTCTCGCCCTTTGGCTTACGAAGTCTCTTTAACAAATATGAAAATTGCCTCCTGGTCTCTCTCGGATTGCAAAAGATCTCTCGCTGAAAATTTGAATTTTTCCTTTTTGTCAATCAGCTTTGTCAGTTGCCGTGCGTATGAAGGTCCGGAAGGTGTCCCCTTTCACAAATTGGCCTGTAGTTTGCTTAGTGTTTTGCACTGCATGAAGGTCACTCTTGTCACTGCTGCATACGGCGTGGAATGTGTATCTTAAAGTTCTTAGAAACATTTGTGTTTTGTAAGCTTTAGGAAGTAGTTTCGTCGTGACTGAACATCAGCGTACACTACAAAGTAGTACCATTCATCTGTGACGCATCATAAAAGCTAGGTACGTCAAATTACTCTAAGAACATTTCTTACAACGTCCACGGCTGCCCCGACAAGCCAAGACGTCATTAAAAAAAAGTCGCAAGGAAAAATCAATCTTTCTTTGTTTCTCTGGCTCCTTGTTTAGCCCGATGATCAGATTTATGTAGTGCCCCCAGGTCTGCTGGAGCAGCTCTTTGAAAATAACACACAGGTAGATTTTTATCTGAGATAAATATTGCGTTCGATACACTCAAGACAAAAGCTACCTGTGAGCTGAAGGGCACTTTACCCTCTAATTAAGAGGTAAAGCAAGTTCCAGCTAGATGGACGATTAAGATCGGACTTCAGATGGTAACTAGTATTGTTTACCTCAGTTCTGTGAAAGCAAACGAGAAGGGTGTCAGAACAATGGTGCATATATAAATTATACAGAGAATTTGTACATTCAGGTGACATTAACTTATAATCGAAGGGGATTTTTTGATAATATTCCTTGACACGTACACTAGATTTATAGAGAATAATATCATGGTTGGCCAAAAAATTATTTACGCACAGTGTATCCGTGCGTTTGCCTGGTTACGCCCCTGTCGCAAACCATATCCTGCTGACTACATGAAAATTGCCTTCTAGCATGGACAAAAAGTCCAAGCTTCTGTGCTTGCGCGGATCGCTGACGATCTCTTGCTGACGAATATAGTAACGAAGTCCCTTGAACTAGTGTGGAAATTGGTTTATTGTCACGCTCAGATCGCTCACTATCTCCCATTGACGATCTTCCAGTCCCTTGAACGAATATAAAAACTGCCTTTTCGGTTTGCTCTAGATTTCCTATCTCTCGCATTTGTTTGAAGATGGTTTCAATGACAAAACGTACACGCTTTTCAAATGCGTACATTGACGCAACTATGCGCCAGGAAATCAGTTGCTGCTGCTGGTTAAGATTGGGTTGCCTGAGCGAAAAAAAAAAAAAAAACCCTGCCCTGNTGTTATGATATTGTGCATTGTGTAATAAAGTATCATAAATGGAAAGGAACTCATCATTGCAGTTTGTCAGATTTAATTATTCACTATGTTGAGCATCTGCAAATGGAGCAAATTGGACATTGAAAATTGTTCTATTGATATTTTTCCTATGTCAACAATTTTCCTAGTTGAACATTTAAAAATGACAGTTTATTGATCATTTTGTTTTAAAAAAGGTGTTGAAAATGAAAAGAAAATCATTTCAGTACAGTTATCTCTTGTTTACATTTTGGCATTTTGAAAGTGTGACTCTGAACTTCCATGGCTTTGAAGACCTTCCCAAATCACATTTTCTGAATATTCATGATACTTTTATTTTTTTATAAAAAATTTGATGGTCATTATGCTGTTAAGTATTATGTTTTATTGCATGAAAGTTGAAGAAACCCCTATTTTGGACACTGCTGCCAGGATAGCGATTAAGGGAAAACCATGTTACTTATGATACTGAAACTTACTGAAAAGTTTCATAAGACAGAAGTGCAGCTTGTGTTTGAAAACCAGTGTGATTGTTTTCTGTTTTGGAAGCAATGCAGGTTTATAGAGAGCTATACTGGCATTTTCAAGTTGTGACTTAGCACTCTCATCTGCCAGGAGCCCTGTACTCTTACTTTGTAACATTTTCTGTATTTTGTTAAGTTACAAGAATGATTCTTAGGATTGACATACAGCCAAAATTAAAAATTAATATATATAGATAGATAGATAGATAGATAGATATAGATATTTTTTTAATGAGTTTAAGCAATTTTTTTTTGTGTGTAATTTTCACTGTACCTCATTCTGGCATTTCCAAAGTTTCACTCTTATCAGCCTGACACCTTAGGGACTATTTCCAGACCCTATCACGCTAACTGTGGATCGATGTATCTCCATGGGAATTCTCGCTAAATTGCAATCAATGTAAGGGGCTTAGTTGTCTGTCACGCCCACTGAAACTGGCATGCCAGAATCCTAAGACTCTCAAATTGAAAGCAATTTAGTGAGAAACCCCTTGGAGTTGCATTGATCCTGTTAGATTGATCTGGGTATGGGATTGATCTAGGTATGGGAACTTAGTCTAATGCTTGATACACATTTTACTTTCATCCTAATCCAATGGTATGCAGAGTAAGAATTTGATGTTGGCTATGCAGTTACAGTAAGCATAATACATTAGCTCATCAGAATTGACAGTATCCTATTTCCTGCGTTTTTATTTTCTGGTTTTTGTCTGTACATTTGACAGCTTTGCTGCCTTGTTTAATATTACGTTTGAGTCTAGTCTGATCATGACATAAATTCATTTCTCATGTAAGAACAATGTATTGCTGACTGGAAAGATTGATCTTTCTTAATACTGCATTTTCTGTTTTACCTATTAATTCATGAGCTGATTTAGGCCTATAAACTTAATTCAAAATTTGCTAAAGCCTAATCTGTTATCTATGTGATATCGGATGGTCAAATTGCATTGATCATTTTGTTATTTTTTTCGCAAGTGTGTATTTAATATCTTGTTACAATCCCAGGAGAATCAGCTGTCTCAGGCTTTAGATATTATCAATGATTTATTATTGAATGATATCAAACAATGTTTTGTCAGCTGTCTACTTGCAGGTTCTCACCAAAAGGTGATCATATTATTTTTGGTAGATTCATACTCCAGTGATTTTTTCCACAAATTTTTGTATTTATTATTTCATTTATTTATATTTATTTATTGTTTTAAAAGTAGGATCTCTTTGCTATATTCAAGTTGTTAATTGCTGCACCTCAAAATATCTAGCAACAACCATGCCCTCCTCTCTAGATCACATTGTACTCTTGAACCTATAAAATCAATCGATTCCATTATTGTATTAGAAGCAAAAAAGGAAAAGAAAAGAACATATTAACTGCAATTAGTGATATTGGCCAGAGATGGATTTGTTTACGTGGGGACATTCAGAAGTTGTTTCCATGCTGCAAAGTGTATTGAAATCAATACTTGACTGTGAACCCACTTCTTTGCACAATCTAAATCTACTGTATCATTGTAGTGCTAATGCATTTCGAACATACAGTTCATAGATTTTTTTACATTATTTGTACTGCTAGAAATAATTTCAATTGACTGCTACAATTAGTTTTTGAAGAATCCAAGTGGAAAATAAATGATATAATGAAGGGATTATTTAGGGGATTGGACAGCTTTTTTAGGGTAGTTGAAACCCAGAAGTTATTTTTATTTAACAGGGGTCAGTGTGAAAGCATTGGCTCATGGAAGACAATTTGTGAGTCTTAATTGAGAAAATATAAATTGATTTGGCATTTTGTATTTTTGAAAAATAAAAAGAAAAAATATTGTAAAGATAAAAATTTCAGAAACAGTTGTTAGAGTACTAATAATTTATGTAATATATAAAGGAAGCATTCTGTTAAATTTAAAACAATTTTTTTCTTTAGACCCTGAACAAAGAACAAGGAATCCATTGGATAAAGCGTGAGCGCCTGCCAGCTTTCTTGGAGAGTGACTGCTATGTGTTATACAGGCTTTCAAAGGTCCTCTGTGAGGTGCAGCTATCAGGGAACACTGGAGAATATGTTACCATTAAAATTGATCACACACCTAGACCGAGGAAGCGTCGAAAACGGGAAATGACCCCTCCTCCTGAAGTGGATGAGTCGGAGTCCTTGTTAAAGAACTGTTTCGTATGTATGGGGAATGCTAGTACAACTGATACAGATGCTTGGGTATCTCAAGCTAAGATAGCACATGATACCAATGTGACTGTGTCAGGGGAAATCCGTCCATCAAGTGCTACAACTAGTTTCAAATCTCCTCGCCGGCCAACAAGTGGTCGTCCAGTCAGTGCCTTTAGTTCTGTGGACAGTTATCGTAATACAGATAGTGGACTTGGAATGAGTAGCCCAAGTAAGCTGGGCTCAATCTATGGAAGTGGTTATCATATAGAAGGGATTCCTGATGTTGAAAATGAAGATGATCTTGATGATGAAATTCAGTCTAGCAAATTGTTTGATGACAGTTCTAAGCCTCACACACCAAGGCCATCAGATGTGGTGTGCTATATTGATGAAAGTATGACCAGTTACAGAAGCAGAGGGCCTGCATTTTATACCAACAAGCCAAATACAGACAGCCAAAGCAGACACCAAGATGGTGACAGCCAGCTTATCTATGACACAAAATCTGTAGGTCGTTCAGATGATGAGGATTCTTCATTTTCAGAATTCCCAAGATCAGAGACCCCTGATTCTGAGACCTCATTAGATCTGACTGCAATCCAGGACTTGGATGAATATGCTGATGTTGTAGTCGCTACAGCCCTTAAGTATTCCTTTGCCTCTGCAATTGGCAAAGACCCAGCTCGCATTGCTCAACTGCCTCAAATCAAAAAGCTTTTCCCAAGTGAGCGCTACATTGACACTACAAGGGAGAAATTGAAGGAAATCTATCTGGATGCAAAACCAGTGCCATTTTTACACCAGACGCCAAAACAGCAAGATACCATGGGCAATTCTGAGAACACTGTTAGCAACAACAAATTGGCTTCACCTCCAGCACAATCAATAAATGCCAAAGAGGATAAAGCAAAGAAGCCTGTGAAAACTAAAGATGGTGGTTATGACAGTGAGGATTCTCTCTTAGGCAGTGATGATGACTATGAAGAGTCTGATACCATGTTCAGAAAGCACAAAAAGCAGAAGTCCTTTGGTTTGAATACTAAGAAAGGCATTGAGGAATTTAGGAAGTTTTTGAAGGGAACCCAAGGTGAAAAGAACTTAAATCTGTGGCTGGATATAGACAGGGGGAGACTGCTACCTATAGATGATCAAGAGGAAATACAGATGTAAGTATGATTGGAAGTGTGAATTGTATTGCCAGCTTTGAAAATCATAAATGCTGAAATATTTTCAGAATATTTAAACTTCATTTGGTATAGCAGTCTCAAAAAAAAAAAAAAAAAGAAATATTATGCCACTCTACATTTAGTGTGTAAACTTGTAAATTAGTAGAATTATACAACCATATATTTTAAATAAGTTATCAGAGTTAAAAGTGTTATTTCAGGTAAATTATAAGAACCTACTATTTCAGGTACCTGGCTGCCATGAGAGAACGGTACTTCAAGCATGGTTCTGTGATGGAGCTGTCACAAGCTGTCAAGCTAGCACTCAAGCTCACAAGACCAGAGTGCTGGACACTGGAAAAACTATTCTCTGTCCAGGAGAAGATTGCTGAACCTTTGGTGTGCTACTGGTAAGTGAAGGTTTTTAGTTCTCTATAAAACTTTATCAAATTCAATTTTGAGTAAAAGAAATTATATGAAATATTTACAAGTCCTTGCTTAGAATATTAGTTTTGTTCATTTAGTAAAGTAAAATGTTACCTTAACAAAAGTAATTAAAAAGTAAATCAGGTGTAAGATGCAGATCCAAGAAGTTTATTTAAACATTGAAAATGGATGTAACCCATGTCCCCAATCTATTTCCAGGGCACCAAGGTTCCTCCTGAAGCAAACTGTGAAGTATCACCCAGAGAAGAACAAATTATATCATCATCAAAAACTGCTACAGCCAGTCCCCAATGTTCCATATCCCAACCCCCCAACTATGACACTGCTGCCCTTGAGACCCAAGTCCTGTGCACCCAGGTGTAAGCCAGTGGAGACAACTTCCACTGCCCCTCCACAGCCAGTTGAAAATGTGAGTATACCTTTTGTGATACAAGCCCTGAAATAATCGTAGAAACTGTTAGAGAGGCAAAATAATCTTCATTGAAAACTGGTAAGAAGCTTACAGAGTGTTTTGATTTATTTCACAAACTAAGAATTTTTAGTTGTTAAAATTTTAGGTATCCTTGGAAAGAGGGTCAAATGTTAATGGGTGTGGTGGCAACTGATATTATTTTCTTAACAAAAGCAAATTTCAAGGTATTGCAAAAGAAATAATTTTGTGAACATCAGCCACTACATGCATATTCAAGGTTTCCCACATTATAGTTTAAAACTTAGTTAAAACTTTTGTGAGCTTTTTCATTATTAACTAAATTTTAAATAAACAGTTGTATTACCTAGAATGTGACAATTAATCATATTAAAATTATCTGACATTCAGGTGCCAAGTGTCCCTCCTGTCCAGTCAACCACATCACCTCTCGTTGGCTTAAAGCGAGTCTACTCCATTCCTGAGCATTTTCAACCTTACATACCAAGTATTAGCAAGGCCAAAAAGGATCTAGTGAACTCTAAAGAGATACAGGAAGCATCTGAAAAGAAATCGAAGAAGAAAGAGCTGATTACACCAACTTTGGTACTTGATTCTGGGAGGCCTGACAGTGCAATTTCTGAGAGGTAATGAAGAGATTGTGTGTCTAAGAGTGTCTAGAAGTTTAAAAGTTTAAATTGAAAAAAAAGTAAGTAATTTTAATAGCCAAAAATCAAATTACTTTTCTTTGGTAACCTAGGAAGAAATATTATTATAAATTTTAATTTGATTTATATGAATTAAAAAATTTTTTCCACAGATCTTCACTTCCTTCAAGACCAAAAACAGCTCGCTCGTCAAATTGGGAAACACAGTCAAATGCCTCAGACAAATCAACAAAGAGACCCAAATCAGCTGACACCTCTTCTAAAAAGTCAACTCATGATCAGAGCAGAAGAAGCAGCACCAGTTCCATTTTTGAAGGTGGGAGACGCATGGAAGGACTTCTCCAGGCACTGAACTGTGAGAAGCAGGCTGGCATGTTCCTGAAACGATACTTAGAAAAATCTGGAAATCAGGTAAAGCTTTGGGCCTTTTAGCAAACCAACTCCCATTCAGTTTCATTTCAGTAGTAAAAACAATTATTTTTTGTAAGTTGGATTTTGCAAATTTGATTAAAACCTATTTATATATCATGTGTACATGATTTTTTTTTCGATAATTTTGCACTGTAAGCAATTTGCAGTTTGCATGGTTTATATATTTATCACTGAACTTGAATCACTGAACAAAAAGCTGGTATAAACAAGTGTATTTTTATATGCATCCTTGGAGAAGAGAATAAAAAATTCAAAATGAATCAAAAATTTCTCTTACAGCTCTGGATCAACTGCATTAGTTTCTGGAAGGAGGTACAGGAGTATCACCAGACATTTTATGAAGATGTAATAGATCCTTTTGCTTTATCCAAGAAAGCACAACACCTTAATTCTCAGTTTATTGTGGAGGGGTCCCCATTTAACATCGGTTGCAACAGTGACATGAGGAAGCAAATTAATCGTCAGATTGACCCACCATTTGAAGAACTTTTTGATGCAGCAGAAGAATATGTGCTTCATGTTTTGTATGTGGCCTGGATGCAGATGAAAGTGAATGATCAGGAGACATATAAGAAAGTAAGATAAAGAAATCATAATGTTACATTTTGTAGAAGTCATTACATTTAATAAATCAATGTGAAAAAGTAGATCGCTTTAATGATAAAAGAAAAACAAAGATTGTTGAAAGTGTTTGCATTTACATAACTGTTCACAGTAATTCCATTTAACATTTAAGTGAGTTATTATAAAAAAGTCAATTTCATATATGATAAAAAAGAAACAAAGATTGTTTTAAGTGTTTAAATTTGCATTACTGTTCACAACATTTCCAGTAAATACATATACAGTGATGAATGTAACTGCAAATGTAAAAATCAAGTCATGTTTATTATTTTATCACTTTATTTACATATTCCTTAATTTATACATTTATAGATTGAGCTCATAGAGGTCAAGAGACAGCTGGAGACAAGATCCAAGTATGTGATAACATTACAGAAGAGAGGGCTGATCAGAGAGGTAAGACATGTCTCACCAAAGTAACAACTAGAGCTCAACCAACTTCCTCATGGAATGATTCTTATGTTTGATCATTGTCTTTATTTTCCTTTATTTTATTATTATTATTTTTGTTCCACAATGTCTTTTGTTTTTAATCAATAAGTTTAGTCTCTGTTAAATTTTTTACATTGTCTCCATTTTAATTATCTGGTTTGTGTTCCACTGCACCTTTTGTTTTTAATCATTTATGTTTAGTTCTTTTGTCTCTGTTAAAGTTTTAGTCTTTTATTTTTAACTTTTCCAAGGTTTGTTTTCTAAATTAATCTTTCCTTCTTCATAATGTTTCATGTTCATTTGTTTTTGAAATTTACAGTTTGAAAAATCTGCATATGAAAAGGTAAACTGAGTATAGTAAATGATGTTATTAACTGTGGCATTTGGGATTGTTTATGCATGATATATATATATGTAGTTTAGGATGATATAACAATAACCATTATAGCTCTTTACAGTAACCTTGCTTATGCAGAGTTAAACATTGAATCTTGAGGATTGTTTAATCTGCATATTAGGGCAACCAGTTTTTACTACCAGCTCATTTAAACTAACAACAAATATATATATATATAGGTGCTATGTTGCTTTATCAGAAACTAGTATCCTATTATTGTTAAAATGTCGAAACTTGTTGACTGTTTATTTATTTATTTATTTATTTATTTATTTATTTATTTATTTATTTATTTACTCAGCCCTTTTAACTTGAAAAGGTAATTTGTCAAAGATACATTGAAGCTGTTATTACTGAAATTCAAACCATAGGGAGGGATATGAAGACCAATAAATCAGAACAAAAAAAGTTTTAAAAAAAGTTCTCATGTGTTGCTATTTAGACAAGCCTCTTTTCTCTGGGTAATCAGATCTGAGAATCATTTTTAAATTCATTCATTTTATATCCCCATACTTTACTAGCTATCACATGCAAAGAATTACTAATATAATATGCACTTGCTAAAATGAAAATACAGAATATATGCAGTAGTAGGTAGTAATTGTTTTGTTGAGAGAAAGAAACATGAAAATAGGAAAGCATTAGTTAAATAATTAATGTGTTTATTAGCAGGATATGGTGTATTATGTATAATTAATGTATGACTGACCATATTAACAACAAATATATTTTATTAAACAACTAACCCAAAGCAACAAAATTACAACTCTTTTTCAAAAATTCTTTTAAATGAATCCGAAGTCCAGGCATTTGACTAAAGTTAATTTAGTTTGTCAGTTCAAAACTGATTTTTCAAGAAACTTACATTTAAGTTATGGAAGTTTCATTGCATTTGAGTTTAATCCATATTATCTGATACATTCAATCTTTTTTATCAGCTTTAGTTTTTTAGGTGAAAAACAGCTGTCTTCAAAAATTTTGCAAATACAGCTCTGATTTTCTTAAATCATGATTAACATTGAGTTTTCCTTTGATTTTTATCTCCTTAGGAATTAGTTGATGAAGAACCAACAGAGGGATACCAGGACCCAGTGTATGATGAATCATTGTGGGAAAAAATCCCAGAAGAATTCAGGGATTTTTCACTTTCAAACTTGGTATACAACCGAGTTGAACTAGAGGAGTTTCGCCTCTTTCTCAGTGATAACTATGCAAGTGTTGATTTGATGTGCTGGATTGACATGGAGGCTTTCAGGAGGATACCCCATGAAGACACCAAGAGGAGGGATATGAAGGCCAAGGAGATCAAAACTAAATACCTTACCAAGAAGTATTTCTTTGGTCCAAATAGTCCAGCTGGGAAGGAGGGACAAAATAAGGTAAGTGAAGAGAATATATTTCCCACTCAAAAGTATAACCATCAGTTTCTTATGACTGTATCACTATGTTTCTAAAAATTAAGTACTTAAATGAATAAATGGACAAGTATAATGCAAACAACAACACGACTTGATTTTGTAGAAAAATTGATGAAATATTGAAATAATGATAATTATTGCTTAAATAGAAAAAAGCTAATCAGGAATAATTGTTTTTTCTTTAGATTATGGAGTCTTGTGGGGGATGGGGCAAGCTGTTAGAGGACAGGCCCCCCAATGAGCTTGTCTTAGAGGCACAAAAATACGTTCAAGACAGACTGGAGAAAAAATGGCTGCCAATGTTTCTGGCAACAGAAGAGTTTGCAGATCGTCAGCGTCCACAGTCCAGCATGAGTGATGTGGTGGATGATGTCATGTCACAGAGGAAGAAGAAAAACCAAGCTGTCTGGAAGGTAAGCAAAGAACTTAAATGTTTATGTCAAAAGTTTATCTGTTTGTACCATGTAGAAATCTTCACTCTGTTATAACAGTTATTTATTTATTTATTTATTTATTTATTTATTTATTTATTCTTTGCAGATGCTAGAAAGCAAATGGGTTTCCTCCTCAAAAGAAATCATAGGCTTCCGCAAGGCTCTATTGAACCCAGTCACTTGTCTGCAGTTTAGAAAGTTTGTTTCTCTGAAGGGAGAGTTCCTAGAAAATGATGTGCTTTTCTGGTTGGAGGTGCAAAAATATAAGGTAGGAAATCACATTCTGATATTTTAGAATAATTCTATGTAAGAAAACTTTTTAATTTCTAAATGTAATTTTATTTGTTTTATTTAAATTGCTTGAGTATTTTCTTATCTTAAATTGTCCTTTAAAAATCTTATAGAATCATTGTCATGTGCTCAGATGATAGAAGTTGGTGCAAGTAACTATGTATTATATTTTGCAGGACATGTATCATGTGCACATGGACGATTCTTTGATCCAGCAAAAGATTTCGACAATCATCAATTGTTTCCTGGACTCCCAGATTCCTCCAAGCATTCAGATAGATGTCCCCACAGAGCAAGCTGAGAGGATATTGGAACGTAGGAGGGAGCTGGGGCCATACATCTTTAGGGAAACACAGGTGAGGTCGGGGAGGTCCCTATAAGCATTTCATTATGCTACATACTGCTTTTTTATTGTGGTTCTTATTATGTTGAAAAAATATGAAAAAAATTTATATGTAAGAAATATCCATTACAGCTAAATCTCATGTTCATAGGGAAGTTGATTCATTCTGAGCAGCAAGAAATTATGTTAACTTTGTTTGCATACATAATATATCAATATCATTTTATTTTCAGTTGACTGTGTTTAGGGTTCTTTTCCAACACTGGCCAGATTTCCAGAACTACAGAAGCAATATCTCAGAGAGTAAACTGGTGCCTACATTGGACAGGCTGAAAAAGAGGGCAAGAGCCAAAGAAATGAAGAAACAACGAGAGTTAGAAGAATTGAAAGAAAAGGTGAATAATTATTGAGAGGTTATACTGATGTGATGCTAATGAAATTACCAGTTTTTTCCAAATCTTGTTTGATCTACATGTATGGGAAATTGGTTAGTTGTCTAGTTAAGGGAGGAGGGGTCTTGCCTAGCATATAAAAATTCAAGCTGCTTTCTTTTAGTTTCTTGAATTTAATCATCACACACTCACAAAAACACACACACACAAATTTGTTTATTATATGTCTATAAAAGGCTAATGTCACTGTGGCAGGTTTTATTAACATCTTATTTACTTATTTTTGTGAAAAGATTTGGTAAATTTAAAAAAAATGCATAAGATCTACATGTAAAGGTGCTTTGGTGGGAAAAAAGCAGCAGTTTGAAATTCATTGGGTGTTTGTTATGAAAGTTTGAAATTGAGCATTGTTATTGCATTTATAATTCTTGTTTTTGGTGATGTTATTAAATATTTACTGGTGTGAATGATTGACATTGATAAATTGTTTGTATTGTTATGCTTTTATGACACATGAATCTTGCTAAAGCAGTGGTACTGTAAATGGAGGATTCTCAATTTTTACAACTATTTCTTTTGCATGTGTTCACAGAGGAAAAAGAAGGTTTGGGATGATTTCCAAACTGTAGATCTACCTATAGCTCTTACTAATGACCCCATTCTTGTCAAGGTTACTAACACTTATGAACTTTCATTTAGGACCTCTTCTTGTATAGCAGTCATTTAATGTGTTGCTTTTAGTGCACTTTATCTAATCCCTGCTTGTAGATTATTGCTAACCAACAACAGATTCCTCAGCACCAATTTGAAGACCATTTTTATCATCAAACTAACAAAAAACAACAGAAGTCACCTCATGGGAAACCAAGGCAACAGAGGATACTATCTTTTTCATTATCTAGCATGTTAGATGAGGAGGTGACTAATTCTGAGGATTACTGTGATGAATTGCAGTGGTGTGCAGAATAACTTCCTACAACTTTGCCTTCCTTGTTTTTGTTATCTTTTGTTCATCTGTGTGCAAATTCCAGGATTTTGACCAAATCTATCAATGAATTTATACCCTTTTCTGCATATTTATTCTGTATAGTCATTTTTGTGTTTGAAATGTGTTGTGTGGACATGCTTGGTTGTTCTTGCAATTCCAGTATCATTTCTGTTTGAATTTCTTTTGCCATCACTTATTGTGTGAAATCACTTTGTTTGAAGTGAGATCATTTTGTAAAAACATTGTCAAGTTAAATTCCATTGAATATGATAGTGCCTAATATTTTGCAGCTTTTTATATGTCACTTTGTATATGGCTGTTATGCTTTGCTTCATTAGACACTGCTTAAAAATAATGAATAAAATATCAATACATACTAAGAAGCATTAAAAGTTGTGGTGTACATAATTATTAGGCATTTTAAGAATTAGGTCCGCTTCACAACAAGAGCTAGGTCACTAGTTGATTAACTATTTTTGACAGTGTTTATGCCAATTATGTGTGCTCATATATGCTGCATAGTCACATATTTTAATTTTCATTATATATAACACTGTTTTTTATTGCTGATTAGGAGGCTGCAAGACGGAGAGCACTGGGTCTGCCCCCAGAAGGTGAAGAGGGTGAGGATGATGAAGAGGAGGCATACGATCCATTTGCTTCATTGAAGCCCAAAGGGAAAGATGAAGGGGAGGAAGAAGCAGTTGAGAGGGATAATGGCAAAGTGTCCTGGACATACTCACAATACATGTCTGCCTTTGCAGAGGAGGATGTTCTCAATAACACAGATGAGAGTACCTTCAGTTCCCTTGCTGATGCAGGTATGCAGCAAAAACTTCACGTTTGCAGTGAGTCTGTTCACAAAAACTTGTTAATGATGTAAAGATAAATAAATAATTGCCCAAAAGAATTCACCATATTTAAATTGACTTCTTTATTTATTTATATTAGTAATGAAAAAGTTTTTCTTCACATAAAGAAAGATTTGAGCCAGGAAATTGATGTTGATCATCATATGAAATCTCCTCAACAATATTGTAATCATTACAATGTCTTATTTTCAGCTTCACTCCTTGATGTCAGTTTGTTTGGTGACAGTGACAAGGATTCTAGAAAAAAGAAGACCAGGAAGGAATCAGTTGACAAGAGCCAGCAGACTGACCAAGAGAAAGCCAAACTTCCACCCAGTGGCAGTGAGGGAGCTACAGGTATCTTTTCCTTTTTTTCAGAACAATAAGTGGAGAAATCATAAGTGTAGATTGTCATCATATTCATGAAACTCTGTAAAGTTTATTTACTCTAGAGATCTACAAAGCCTGATTAAGCCACAGGGGAATATGTCACCATTTCACTGGTATGGATTACATTACATTACATTATAAAAAAAGTATCATTAGTGATAACCATGAATATTTCAGTTATACAAATTATCTGCACCGTTAGTTCAATTTCATCATCTCAATCAATCAGGGTCAAAGCCCGGCAGTGCCAGACCAGGATCCAGGCCAGCCAGTGGCCAGGCAGCAGGCAAACCACAGGGACAGACAGCAGAACACACCCCCTCCCCTCCAGGTAGCAGACCCACCAGCAGCAGTCGCAAGGCCAGGGTGATGTCACCCAAGGAGAGAGAGCCTGCCGTCAAATCTGTGACTTACATAGAAGAAAAACAGAAAGTCAGGCTGGGAAGAACAATACCACCCCTGGTCAGGAAATAGGGTGTGTTGTTCTGTTAAAGACTGGGGTCATACTGTAGTATTTTAGATAAAAATACAGACTTACTGGTAGATTTTTATTTTCCTATGAAGTATGTAAGTAAAGTTGACTTTTTTCTCTGTCTTAAGCAACAGTTTTTGATCCCAATCCCATAAATTCATTTCTTTACATACATTTAAGTCAGTTATTTACCTCTACTTTTATATAATACAGTGTATTTTTATGAATGAGGTGTTTTGATATATATTTATATGCAAGAGAGAAACTAAAAACATGCAGGGTGAGTTGAATGTGTCAATTAAGAAAAATTATCAGTTTTCTGTCAAATCCATATTTGAATTCACTTTGTATCCATATTTGTATCCATAATATTTATGATTTGGACATCTAGTTTGCAAAGCCATAAATGTGATAACTCATATACAGAAATCATTTAGAGTCAACAGTTTCACCCTGTGATAAACAAACCTGATTATGCCATATAATGTATTTTTGTACTTGATGGCGAGGTACACTTATCATTCCCATCTGTCTTTGTGATATGATGAATATAATTGGTTATATATGTATATGCTTGATTGGGTGGGATAAATGACTAGTAATTTCCCTAATTTGCAGTTTTTGTTTAGGGAGGAAGGTTACACACTTATGCTTAAGAACAGTGAAATAAACAATTAACAACTAATTGCAAAAAGAAATGTTATATGTGCCAATGAAAGCAAAGTTTTTATGCAAGAGTTCAGCAGTTATGAAGGTATTTTTGTGAGAGGGAAGCTGTGCTGTTGTTAAAAGGGTATGTTTTGTGGTATAATTCTAGATTATGAGGTCTCATTGTGAAGGGTAGCAACACAGTATTAACATGGTATTTATATCAAAGTTTTAGCTTACTTAGGGTAATTTTTATAATTTTGCTGACAATCTGAATGAATATGTGTAGTGTTGGTAATACTATGAATGTGGTTCAATTTTATTTTTATATTTACTTATTTAGCTTGTGAAAGTATTTCAAAAGTATATTTAAAAAAAGTTTTGTTTTTTTTTTTTGGGGGGAGGGGGGTAAGGCAAGTTATGTATTTATCTTAGTTTTACCAACCATGCTTTTAAAAAGTTCGCCAAGAATTTTTATCTATTTTCCATATACTCCTAGTAGCTGATACTCTCTGTAGAAAGGATGCTTGATCTACACATATTTCCCATATATGCACAACATTTATATATTGTACATTTTCTACGCACCTGAAGTAAATTACCATATTATTGCCATTTTTACTGAATGAAGCTTCGGACGCAGGTTTTATTTTTATACATTTTTTCTAGTCTCCATGTTACATAATTAAGTAGCTCAAGGCCTTGTTGTCTGACAACTTGACCAACATCGGTGAAAAACTGCTGAATGTATAAAGAATTTTGTAGTGCTAATAAAAGTAATTTTTACTTAAATAATCAATATTCCTGGAGTTTAATTATTTGATGATACCATACTCACAGTGGTAGAAGAGTGATTCACTCCAAAAGGCTTGACAGCATGTAGCACTAAAGCTACCAGAACAATCACAGATTGATTCTTCACATTAACAGATATATTTATTTCTCTGGCTAATTCGTGACATCTCAAAAGTGCACATAATTAATCTATGCGTAAAAAGTTAAACCAAGGTCCATTGCTCCGACAATCTATTAGATCTTACCTGTAACGGATGGAAGGTCTATTGGTTCGAAATAATTATCCCTCTCCCTCCTATCCATCTCATCTCGTCTCAAATGAAGGTTGGATTGAGCAAAGATGCTCAGTCATAAAAATTGAAAAAAAAACTGCGAGAAGGATGTTATCCATATGTTTTTCATTCAATCACAATTACTTGCACAAAAGCAAATAAATGTGCAATAAATATTGAATCCGACTTTTAGAAACGAGTGCTGACTGTACGTGTATTGTGCGTTACGTTTAAATTACATGTTGTTACTTTTGACAGCACTTACAAGTGATGTTTCGGTATTCCGTCGGTGTGATCGTCTTCAGATTGTTCTCTGCAGCTTTTGGAAGCAGCATTATTTTAGGGATGAAAAATTAACACGCAAAATGCTAAATTAATGTCCTTTGTCATATATTTAGCAAGAGAGATTTTTAAATAATGTAGAGAAAACTTTTTTCATCGTGTCCTCCATTTTTGAGTTAACGACTCTGTTTTGAAAGTATAATACAGCGGACTTCAAGAAAAAAGACGCAGGCAAGACGGATCTACCATACACGTGTTAATGAAAGTCAATGAGCTGTGGTATAATCAAATTACGACCCTTGTCGGCAAGGTGTGCTTGACGGCCCTTTACGATCGTTGATTTTGCTTACTATTATATAACTCATTGGAACCTGTGAGTAAGTCTTTCACCTGCCTCAAAAAAAAAAAAAAAAAAAAAAAAAAAAAAAACAAACAAAAAATGTTCCGAGTGTTTGTATCTTTTGCTAAGTTCCAAAAATGCAGAATATACACAGGTCCTTATTAGTGCCTCCTCAATCCCTCCAGTGGTAGATGTGAGTCCGGGTACGCGTTTATTTTTACCGCTCAGTTTTCGCTGAATCGATTTCCTAATCTTCTCATACTCATTCTCAGTATATAGGTACATTTGAAGAAAACAGAAAAGTGACAAATAAAGTTAAAGATATAGTTGCGAATTTTGCTTTTTTCTAAATCTCTGATGACAGAAAGTGATAAATCTAGGATTTTTTACAAACCATTGAATCCATGCCTTGCTAGTATGGGGACAAAGCAACGAAAGGTTTGCCCATTTTGGTAACGAAAGTATTAAAAATCACCCTTTTGGATAATATTTGCACGTTATTAAAAAGAAAAAAAATGTATTAGGGTATTAGGCCTACGCGATGCATGTTTATTTTAATGGCAGATTTTGTCCTCAACATCAAGTATAATATATTTTTTCACAATGCATGGTAACGAAGGTTTGCAAATTACTTTCTGTGGGAATGCACTTACGGGGTGTTTCGTCTAAAACATTTGACGTACTGTGTCCTCTCACCATATTTTCTTGCTTATGCTCATTAATGTCTAAACTATCATTGAAAAGCATCAAACAAATAAAAAATAATGAGGTGCGCCAAAACAGGTAACGAATTTTTTTTTTCAATTTTTTAAAAATCCCGACGCCAAAATCCGGCGACGCTCATGAAAGTAGCCGCAAGCTATTTATTATTTAAAATAAACATTTAAGACATTGTCTAATACGTAAGACGCCATACTCGCTTCCTGACAAGTTGCAGATTTTCAACTTTAGTAAAAATGAATTAGATCGATTGCAGAATGTGGCACAGTAACGAATTAAGGAATTACGAGCTCCTAATTAATAAACAAAGGCATTGTTTTGCTTTGTCAACATTAAAATCTGAACTAAGGCTTTTAAGGAAAATTGCTGACAGGGTTTTGGAGTACACAATGATGACATTCATTCGTCGGTGAAATTATATTTGTGTGTAAAGGAGAAATATGAGAAACCGATTTTCCACTTTTATCTCTCCCATTCAGACATGCTTTCATAAACATATGCTGGGGGGGGGGGGGGGGGTCTGATCTTGTGCACAAATAAAAAAGTATATGTAAACACGTTTCCTTAAAAGGCGGGATAAAATGCTGAAAATGGACGCGCTTGTGGGATGTATTTCATTAGCTTGAATGCGTTTTGGTCGTATTACATGTAGGCCCTATATTTGCTCGTTACCAATCAGCTCTTCCATCCCAGCTGAGGCAGTAGCTGAGGCCTTTTGTCCAGAGACGGGAAGGTAACATTATGCACCAAGATTGTGGAAATTAAATTATGAACATTTTTTAATTTACACATTCTGTTAAATATTCGGTGGTAAGTTAAAACTTTATGCATAAAGATGCGATACGATGATTGCGTCCCGACCGCGACTGCGTTCCAAGTTTTATATCAGTTAGGAAGTGAGCCTCGTTTGGAAAAAATAACATCATGGCGGGACATGAGCACCTGTCTCGCACTTTAGAACTCGGAGAGTTTCAGGCACTGCCGCAGAATGTTGCAGACAAGTTAGAGGCTACTTTGAGGAGTTTGCAAGAAAATATAGAGGAGTATGAAACTCGATGTGAAAAGTTAAGGGTGAACTCAGGTAATTTGACAAAGAACTGTTAATCTCCGTTCGTTTAAAAACGAAACAATTATTACTTACTCGCCGACTCGTTATTTGCTTTAATACTAAACCCTTGGTGTTAACGACCCCCCCTCTCCACGAAAAAGCGAATCTAAGTTTCACAGCTTTACGAGAGGAACAAAATTTCACTATCACAATCATTCACATGAATATCATACCAAAGTGTTAAAACCTTGTCATATTGTTCAGACCCCAATTTGTTTGCAGTCCATTTATATAATTCATAGTGATAAAAGTTATCACTGTTTAAGAAGTTTATGAAATTTGTTGCTTTCATATATCATGTCAGGGATTGTGAAGTTAATGGCAGCATGTAAGCATTTTATTATTATTCTAATTTCTTATGTTTTCTTTTATTTCTTCAATGTAGAACAGCAGTATTTTGAACAGGAAAAAGAACTGATCAGCACTCGTGGAAAGTTGGAATCAGAAACCAGAATATGTGGTGAAGTGAAACAGCAGCTGGCAGATCTTGGTATGCAGATTGAGTATTTTTACTTAATCCAGACATCATTAAAAAATGTAATGCAGCATATATATTTCTTTAATTAGTTATATTGTAGATAGAATCTCTATATATGCTTTGCCCAAATTCACTTTCAAAACATTCATGACTGTTACATTAAATTTTAATCTGTACTCTCATTAATATTTATTCTGTGTTAGATGTCAAGTATGCAGAGGCTTCAAAAAAGCTTAAAGAACTGGAGACATATAAAGATACTCATGATGTACAAGAGGTGTGTATATACATCAAATTATACACCTTATTTCCTTTTACATAAATTAAAAAAATTAGATACTGCACAGTTTACAGGTCAAGAAACCATTAAGCAGACTAGAAAATACCTGTAAACTTATTTTGATAGCATGTAAAATAGATCAGATAAAGTTATAAACGATCTAAGATGTATAGATCTAAATACAACTTATGTTTAATTTAAATTTGGGAACTGATAGTACTGATATTAATTTTCCAGCAACACTTAAAGAGAAAGTCTCAACAACTGGAGGAGGACAAGAAAGATTTGTCAGAACTGCTAGAGAAGAGGAGTGGAGAAATTGATCGGCTTAACAGTAAGATGTTTGCTTGAAAATAAATGTATTAGAACTGACTTAAAAACATAAAATGGTTAAAGTGAGAAATTCTTTGAGGTATTTATAGTGGGTATAAGCTTGATAAAAATAACACTAGTGGTATATTTCTCAACATTTTTCAGATGAATTGCAAAGCCTCACAGAACAGCTTACTGCAGCCAACAATGCCAAATGTGAAGCTTTGGCCAAGGTTGATGAATTACAGTCTCAGGATGTTTCAAGCCAGGTACAAAGATGACTAATGGTCTGTTTTGAAAATTTAGCTTGATACAGAGTTGCCTCTGGGTCATATACCTTCCATATTTTCAAAAGAAAACAAGTGTGTGTCCAACCTAAATTTTGGCAGGTTTCTACCTGCAGAAAAGTGATACTAGAAGTACAAAGAAATTTACCCTGTGTGACAACGCTTTTATATCTGCCAGGCAGCAAGACCCAATAATTCTTCAAGTATAATGACTTTGTCTTCCAGTTCAAAATGAAGAGGTTGGAACAAGAGCGAGATCAACTGCAGCAGCAAATCCAATGGCTGAATGGTGAAGTGAAGCAAAAAACAACAGAACTGATGAATTGCAGGAAAGAAAGGGTATGATACCAGTACCAAGTTTCCATTTCATATGTTGAAAAATACTTTTTTCTGATTCATATAAGCATTATGGATTCAAAGCATTTCCGTCAATCGCTAACAAAATCTCTTCCGATGGAACAGTCAGTTGATTTCTATTTTTTTAAATATGATAATTATTTTGTTGATTTTTGTATATTTTTCATCAGTCCACCAAACACTTGGAGCTCCAGAGCCAGCTTGACCAGAAAACTGATGAGATCCAGCACCTACAACAGACTTTGGAAAACTTGCGCAAAGTGAACAGTGAGCAAACAGCCAAGATAGAAAATTTTATTGAGAAGCTGAAGGATGCCCGCAACTCTCATGCCCAGATGGAGGAGCAGTACAGACATGAGCTGCAGGCCCAAGTCAAACTGGTCTCTCTTTACAAGGTGTGCTGATGATTAATTGAGTGAATAAATTGTTAGATAAATATCGACTGAGGAGCATTGTAATATCATTTGTTGTTATCACTCATAATTTAAATGACTAAGGTTTTGTATATGTCTTTTTATACACAAATTTGGTATTTTTTCAAGGAGATTGGCCATTTCAAACTTTAAAATCATAAATGATACTGAGTTGGAATGTATTGGTTTCAAATTGCTTTTATTTAGATTCCATAAATGTTTCAGTGTTATCCTTTTGTTTTATTTTAGATAAAATGTTTTGATGTACATATATTTTTTCCAGACATCAGCAGAAGAAGCAGAGGCCAAGGTGAGAGAGCTGATGACAGCTGTGGAAGAAATGCAGAAATTACTGAAACAAGCACGAGAAGGTGTGGAATGGTTTGTTTTTATATATATTTGTTGATATGTAACGTGAGGCTGATCTGCATTACATCCAGAAAATATAATCATGTTGCTTGAAGAACCTTATTTTATATAATTTGTTTCTTTCATATGAACTGGCGAATTTCTATAGATACCAGGATAGCTTTGACATCTTTATAAAGAGACCTTATTTAATGTGGACTTGGAGATAATTTTCAGCCCCACTCCCACCCCCACCCCAAGTGGTCTTTGAAATGTAAGTTGGGTTAGTGTTCAGTGCATGACTTTTTTCTTTGTTTAGCCCATGAAGCTTTGGAAAAAGAGAGACAGGTGGATGCTGCAAAACATGGAGAAATGTTGACCTCCAAAGGTATGTATTTTAAAATTAATGAAAATAACAGACAGGAATGGTAGTATTAAAAACTAATTTTTTATTTTGAAATGCTTTTCAAAATCTATATATTTCACTCTAATGTTAACTGAGGTCTTTCTTGTTATGTAGTGGCATTAAACTTATTTCAGATGAGACCATCTCTAAGCTGCAGAAAGAATTACAGCATGCTAATGAACTCATAAAGAAACAAGGTAAGTGAAAACATTTTCTGTTAAGAATTGCCACTCTGTAAGAACCCAGGCAAGTGTAGTGCACTCTCTTTGATAACGAGCATTTTAAGTTTTTCTGTCAAGATAAAAATGAATTGTGGACCACTGCTCAAAGCAAAGTTCTTGTGGAGTGGTTGTTTTATGAATTCATCATATTCCTGTTAGGTAGACCACGTATTACATTTAGCCAGCAAAAAAGTTATTTTTCTTTTTTAGGAGTCTTGTCCCTAAGTCAGCAGAATATTGAAGCTATGTCTCCCACAGCAGCTGCTGCCAGCCGGTTACTCAAGTCTGGGAAAACATTGACCCAGGTAAGGAACGAAGGCAGGGTAAATGATGTCACTCAATGGCTTGTATGCAATGAGTTAGATCGTGTTATTGGAGTTTAGTGTATGATGTGCTAGTAGCCTTTTTTGACCTCTGTATAAAATCTTTTTTTTTTTCAATAAGTTATCAGTCCTCAACTAGGTGTTTCTGGGCTTTTAATATTTCTGTAACCGCCATTGATTGAGTGCAACTTATTTTCATAGATCTACAGTGAGTATGTGGAAACAGTGGATGCGCTACAGGTTGAGAAAGAGGAAAATAGAAAATTGAGTGAATATCTGGATCAGATTCTGCAGGTATTTACACCAGTTACACCACTGTGCACTCTCAACAAATGTTTTCTTTGAAATTGTGCAATGGAATATTTTGAACAGTTACTGATACATTTCTTGATAAAGTGTTTTATTATCTTTTAACCATAAGAATATAAATCAAACATTATTAAAAAACTGTAGATTATTTTGGACCACCCTGTTGTGTAGCTTTGATATCCATCTATGGTTCTTGTATATAGGAAATAGAAGAGAAAGCTCCCATCATGAAGAAACAGAGAGAAGATTATGAACAAGCCTTGCAAAGTATCGACCAATTAACACGTCAGATGGATGGTGCCATGATTGTAAGTAATAATGAAAAAAAACCTTAATTGTGCATTTTAACAGTCTAATTTCAACAGCGAAATTTTCTAACACACCTTTTACACACACACACACACACACACACACACACACACACACACTACAATAAAATTGACATTGAGGAAAAGTTTTATCTGCTTTGTATATTTTATTGTTGATATTGCTTAAAATATGATCAGAATTGTAATTTTGTGGGTCTATTTTTATCACAGGAGTGTGAAAAACTACGAGTTAATTCTGAAGAAAATAGTAGAAAGTCCGCACAGTTGTCCAGAGAGAACCAAAGATATAAACAGCAAACATTTGATCTGGGTCAGCAGGTGAGTGGACAACAACAACAAATTTATTTATATAAAAAAAATCATTTTGGAAATCGAATTATGAAAGTAGATCATTGCCTGTAACATATTTTCAATTTAAAATGAGATTGATAGTTAAAAATGATATCTATCTATCTATTTATTTATTTATCGTATGTTAAAAAATATTTTAATGATGCAGGTGCGAATGTTGCTGAAAGAGTTGGAGGAGGCCAGGGGTAACTTTGTCAGCACAGACAGAGACCAGGCTGATGTGTCCTCCTCAGAGATCTCCAGCTCCTCACACATTATATCTGAGAAACTTGTCACTTTCAAGTAAATATTAACTATTATGTCACTTGTTATCGTGTTAGTTCAAAGTTTAAAAGGGGATAATATAATGTCTGTTGTCAAAGTGTCATTTAATTTTTCTCCAAATACTAGAGACAATTTGGAGATAATTTAGAGATAATTTGGCTGAAGAAAGTCAGAAAAGAAAAAAAGATAACTTACTGGTCGATTTTTAGTAAATTGACAAAAATAATTGATATTTGCTATAAAAATGCTAGTACTGTCTTGAGGTATTTTTTCGGTGCTATAATGTTGGTAAATCAAACATATTTACCACTTCCTTTTTTCAACTAGGAGTATTGAAGAACTGCAGGAACAGAACCAGAGGCTGTTAGAAATTGTGAGAGAGCTAAGTGAAAAGAAAGAAGAGGAGGAAAATGCTGCTACCTCTGCCAGGTGATTTTTTTATTGACCATCACAAGAAGAGGGATTACTGTCTCCACTTTTTAGCATATAAATATACTTTGCATGATGAATTAAGTTTGAGTTTATATTTACTAGAGAACAAGGGCAAATTAAATTTGACATTCTAATTGTATTTATATATTTTCTATTTCAAAGAACTCTTGAGCTCCAGAAACAACTAGAATCTGCAATGGAAGAATTGGAAGAAATGAAAGCAGGAAGGGAGAGACAGGCACAAATGGTAATGAAAGCATTGATGTTAGTCAACCAGAGACATTAGTTGGGATTAGTGCAAATACTGAATTACCTGTTGGTAGTGATGAAATACCGTGTCTTAATTTGAATATGAGCAAGAAGGATTACATTTGCATCAAAATGGATTCTATGAAAAAGTAAAAGGAGAAATACTGACTGACTGACTGTAAAGTATTCTCTGATTTTATATTCAAGGTGGATTCTATTGTGCGCCAGCGAGACATGTATAGAGTTCTGTTATCTCAGAGTGGAGGTCAGTCGGTAAGTCATGGTCATCTTATTTAATTTGATATAAATTTAAATTGTACAATTTTTTGGTATGATTTCCCACAATTTCAAAAATCTGACTTTTCTGTTATAAATTCACGTAAAACATTGTTAAGATCATGATGCACTGAAGGAATCATCTATTGATTCAACTTTATCTGTTCTAAGATGCCTAGTCCACGTCAGATGTCCACTCCTGGACCATCAGTCCTCCTAAGTCCAGCTCTCAAGAGTCCAGATACTGACAGCAAGGGATTGGAGGAAGCTAGAGCAGCTCTAAAGGAACTTCAGAGAGAATACGAGTTCTACAAGAAAGAGAAAAATGAAACAGAGAAGTAAGTTTTTACAATGCTGTAATTAAGATTCATCAGACTACCAGTCTTTTAAGCTACTATTCTTATGCACTGTGTGTGCGTGTGTGTGTGAGAGAGAGAGTGAGAGAGAGAGAGAGAGAAAGAGCATATTTTCTAATAAGTTAAAATACTTATTGTTTCAAGTTGTTCAACCATATTTCTAAGAAAAATTTACATTTGATAAATTGAATTTGTTTATTCAGACAGCTAAATGAGCAGATTGATAAACTGAAGCAGGAAATGTCAGAAATGAGAGTGCAAAACGCTAAATTATCATCCCAGGTAAGCAAAGATTCTTCAACTATTATGTTAGATTTTTAGCACTATAGCATTCAGAAAATATAGATGGCAAACTTCCAATTTTTTGTTATTTTTTATATCTTCATCAAACTTGGTGCCCAAGGCTCAAATGTTTTTACCCTCCAGAAAGTTACCTGTCAAGAGACTAGTTTCATTTTCAGAATTTAGATTTTGAAATGTCTTAACAACTGACAAATAAAATAAGCCACTGGTCTTTTCCTAAAACTGTTCTTCATTTTTTAACATGAACCTCATTCCAAATCCCAGTCAAATTTAATAAATTTTATGCTGGCCACTATTTCTACTTTGGGCCACTATTTTTATTATGCCCTTGAAGGGTCAGTAGGCTCAAACATTATTGGTACAGACTACTTTACATATTTTTTCATTGCAGCTTGATTTCTCAGCAGAGAGATACAAGATAGTACAGTCTAATGTGGAGGGCTATAGGAAGGAGATAGCTGCACTCAGAGACAAAAACCAGAAATACACAGCTTCCATTGTAAAGCATGAGCAGACACTCAGCACTCTGAGGGAAGTAAGTGGTTTTATGAAGTTCATTTTTTGTGCTTAAAGTTAAGAATAATATTTTCTTTAAATTGTATTTCTTTAATGAAAAAGATTAATCTGTAAATGTTATGTTTTCTTTAACAAATTGACTTTTTCATGGAAATCTGTAAGTATAATGAAAGTAGCTTAGACTCAATCTGGATGTTTCTTCCTAAAGGACTTAATGGCGGCCCAGGAGGGTCTCACAAGGTCAGAGGTCAGATGCCAGAATTTGGAGTCGGAAAAGGAGCTCCTGAAAACTGCAGAGATTAGGCTGATGCAGGAGAAAGAAGCAATGAACAGGGAACAGAGGCTGCAGAATGTGCTTCTTACCAATCTTCAGACAATACAGGTCAGTTTACCCAGAAATGTCAAAATATAAGATAAATAGGATCAACATTTCTCAGACATTTCTGAGATACAACTCTGTTTTTAATGATTTCTTGATAGTTGTTATCCAGCAGCAGTTTTTGATCTAATAACCCTGCTTCTGTTAAAAATGAGTCATGTCAGCATTACATTGGAATGTAATGGAAAACAGAATAGTTAATTGTGCTTGATTGATTTTAGAACAACTTGGAAAGGCAGGAGTTTGAAATGAAGACCAAACTGACCAATCAGAATGAAGCACTGGAAAGAGAATGTACTATTCTCAGGAGGAAGATTGATAGTTTACTTGAAGAACACCGAATCGATGCCAAAAATTGGGAGGTTAGTAATATTTTTCTCTAACTTTAAGTTAGATTTAAGTCAGTTGCTTTTGGGTTTGTGTTTGTTAACTTGCATTTTAAGTTATCAAACTAACAATACTTTTTTTTTTTGCATCCTATGATATCGTTATGACAATTTAAAGTAAATGAGATAAGAGAATGCCTTCATTGTTAAACAGCATTATTTAGGAAGTTTTTCAGAAAGATTGTTATTACATATTTTAAAGCAAATACCAGAAACATATACTTATAAGACTTCACATGATTATCTAAAGCATATCCCAAATATGTCTGACTCTTTGTTTCTATATTTCCAGCAACAACTAGTCAAAGCGCAGAACAGATATGATGAGGAGATAAAGAAAAGCAGAAAGGCCCAAGATGACTTGATTGATACATATGCTAACATGCATGAGTTGAAACAGGAGGTGAGTCATTTAAGTAAATGCCAGTACTTTGATTTTTTATGTACAGACACAGATGTGTCTGTACATATAGCCATCATCTGCGTCTGTCGTCGCCGTCGTCGCTGTCGTCGCNGTTTTTCAAAATCTGTATGTTTCACTCAAATGTTAACTGAGGTCTTTCATGTTATGTAATGGCATTAAATTTATTTCAGATGAGACCATCTCTAAGCTGCAGAAAGAATTGCAGCATGCTAATGAACTCATAAAGAAACAAGGTAAGTGAAAAAGTTTTCTGTTAAGAATTGGCTCTCTGTAACAACCCAGGTAAGTGTGGTGCTCACTTTCTGATTAAGAGCATTTCAAGTTTTTCTGCCATAATGAAAATGAATTGTTTGTGGACCACTGCTCAAAGCAAAGTTCTTGTGGAGTGGTTGTTTTATGAATTTATCATATTTCTGTAAAGTAGACCGCGTATAACATTTGGCCAGCTAAAAGTTTGTTTTTTTATTAGGAGTCTTGTCCCTAAGTCAGCAGAATATTGAAGCCATGTCTCCCACAGCAGCTGCTGCCAGCCGGTTACTCAAGTCTGGGAAAACATTGACCCAGGTAAGGAATGAAGGCTGGGTAAATGATGTCACTCAATGGCTTGTATTCAAAGACCCTGTCAATTTGTGCAATAAGTTAGATCGAGTTATTAGAGTTCAGTGTATAATATGCTAGTAGTCTTTTTTTACCTCTGTATTAAATTTTTTTTTTTTCAATAAGTTATCAATCCTCAACTAGGTGTTTCTGGGTTTTTTATATTTCTGTAACCACCATTGATTGAGTGCAACTTATTTTCATAGATCTACAGTGAGTATGTGGAAACAGTGGATGCACTTCAGGTTGAAAAAGAGGAAAATAGAAAATTGAGTGAATATCTGGATCAGATTCTGCAGGTATTTAAAGTTACACCACTCTGCACTTTCAACAAATATTTTTTTGAAATTGTGCAATGTAATATTTTGAAGAGTTAGTGATATATTTCTTGATAAAATGTTTTATTATCTTTTAGCCATTAGAATATGAAATCAAAGATTATTTAAAAACTGTAGATCATTGTGGACCACCCTGTTGTGTAGCTTTGATATACATCTATGGTTCTTGTATATAGGAAATAGAAGAAAAAGCTCCCATCATGAAGAAACAGAGAGAAGATTATGAACAAGCCTTGCAAAGTATCGACCAATTAACACGTCAGATGGATGGTGCCATGATTGTAAGTAATTATGATAATAAAAAATGAACTCTTAATTGTGCATTTTAACAGTCTAATTTCAACAGCTTGTTTTTATATATTTGCAATAAAATTCACATTGAGGAAAAGTTTTTCTGCTTTTGTATATTTTTTGTTGATATTGCTTAAAATAAGATCATAATTGTAATGTTTGTGGGTTTATTTTGTATCACAGGAGTGTGAAAAGCTACGAGTTAATTCCGAAGAAAATAGTAGAAAGTCCGCACAGTTGTCCAGAGAGAACCAAAGATATAAACAACAGACATTTGACCTGGGTCAACAGGTGAGTGGACATCAACAACAAATTTATTTATATGGAAAATAGTTTTGGAAGTTGAATTTGAAATGAAATTAGTAATTAAAAATTATTATTAAGATCCATCTTTCTATCTTTATATATATTGGATGTTAAAATATATTATTATTATTATTATTATTATTATTATTATTATTATTATTATTATTATTATTATTATTATTATTATTATTATTATTATTATTATTATTATTATTATTATTATTATTATTATTATTATTATTATTATTATTATTATTATGCAGGTGCGAATGCTGCTAAAAGAGTTAGAGGAGGCCAGGGGTAACTTTGTCAGCACAGACAGGGACCAGGCTGATGTGTCCTCCTCAGAGATCTCCAGCTCCTCACACATTATATCTGAGAAACTTGTCACTTTCAAGTAAATATAAACAATTACATCACTTGTTATCGTGTTAGTTCAAAATTTAAAAGGGGATAATACAATGTCTGTTGTCATAGTGTCATTTAAGTTTTCTCCAAATGCTAGAGATAATTTAATTTGGCTAAAGAAAGTGAGAAAAGAAAAAAGGTAACTTATTGGCCAATTTTTAGTGATTGACAAAAAATTAGTTAATTGCTATAAAAATGCTAGTACTGTCTTGAGGTATTTTTCAGTGCTCTAATGTTGGTAAATAAACTTCCTTTTTTCAACTAGGAGTATTGAAGAACTGCAGGAACAGAACCAGAGGCTGTTAGAAATTGTGAGAGAGCTGAGTGAAAAGAAAGAAGAGGAGGAAAATGCCGCTACCTCTGCCAGGTGATATTTTTTACTGACCATCACAAGAAGAGTGATGACTGTCTCCACTTTTTAGCATATAAATATACTTTGCATGATGAATTAAGTTTGAGTTTATATTTACTAGAGAACAAGGGCAAATTAAATTTGACATTTTAATTGTATTTATATCTTTTCTATTTCAAAGAACTCTTGAGCTCCAGAAACAACTAGAATCTGCAATGGAAGAATTAGAAGAAATGAAAGCAGGAAGAGAGAGACAGGCACAAATGGTAATGAAAGCATTGATCTTAATCAACTGGAGACATTAGTTGGGATTAGAGCAAATACTGAATTATCTGTTGGTAGTAATGACATACTGTTGCTTTATTTGAATAGGAGCAAGAAGGATTACATTTTCATCAAAATGGATTCTATGAAAAGTAAAAGCAGAAATACAGACAGACTGTAAAGTATTCTCTGATTTTATATTCAAGGTGGATTCCATTGTGCGCCAGCGAGACATGTATAGAGTTCTGTTATCTCAGAGTGGAGGTCAGACGGTAAGTCGTGGTCATCTTACTTAATTTGATATAAATTTAAATTTTACAATTTTTTGGTATATTTTCCCACAATTTCAAAAACTTGACTGTCCTGTGATAATTAATTCACGTAAAGTAAACCAAATAAAGGCAAAGACAATATTGTTAAAATCATGATGCACTGAAGGAATCATCTATTGATTCAACTTTCTTTATTTGTTCTAAGATGCCCAGTCCACGTCAGATGTCCACTCCTGGACCATCAGTCCTTCTAAGTCCAGCTCTCAAGAGTCCAGATGCTGACAGCAAGGGATTGGAGGAAGCTAGAGCAGCTCTAAAGGAACTTCAGAGAGAATATGAGTTCTACAAGAAAGAGAAAAATGAAACAGAGAAGTAAATTTTTACTTAAGACAATCAATTCTGTGTTATAATGCTGTAATTAAGGTGCATCAGAATACATGTCTTGCTACTATTATTATGCACTGTGTGTGTGTGTGTGTGTGTGTGTGTGTGTGTGTGTGTGTGTGTGTGTGTGTGTGTGTGTGTGTGTGTGTGTGTGTGTGTGTGTGTGTGTGTGTGTGTGTGTGTGTGTGTGAGAGAGAGAGAGAGAGAGAGAGAGAGAGT